GCGAGACTATTTCACCTCTAATTTAGAGGGAAATCAATATAAGTGCATTATCGTACACATACAAACACAGATAAACATCTATATTAAATCAGCGGTGTAATACTAGATAAGAGATGGAGCATTTGCAATATCCTCTGATGGGAAACAACATCATGAGAAGGTTTCTGCTTCAAAGAGAGAGAGAGAGAGAGATGGATGTGCTGTGAGAGGAAGGTACAGCACGCACCTGCTGTCCTCGGGAACACAGTGCCCTATATTTTGCCGTGTCACAGTCATCAAATTCACTTATAACACACACACACACAGGTTTCCATGTTTTATGGGGACTTTCCATAGACATAATGATTTTTATGCCGTCTGCAGCAGGGGGCATCGGCACCAAACATAAAAATTGAGACCTAATAATTTTCGAAACCATATCAGTACTATTTTTCCAAACATATTTTTATGTTTTAGTTAAAATATCATTACTAACTAAAAAAATCTGAAACACTGTATCTTTAACTTCACACACCTTTTTACAAAGGCCTACACAACTTGTGGGGGAAAAAAATTATATATCAGAAATGTATACTGTAAAAAATTATATTCCAATAAAACAAAGATTATTGGAATAGCCTATGTCTTAAAAGAAAACACTATTCAGTCTGTCTACTTCAAAATGTAATTCAATGTGTAACTTGGTGTTTTGCTGATTTGTAATTATTTGTGAAATGTACTAGCGTCATGGAACAGTAGAATGCAGACAGGTAAAAACAAGCAGAGTTTATTGAGAGACACACTGGATGTAAACAGGTGAGTAACTGAAAAGATGATCGATGTGGTGATCCTGGAAGGGAAATGACTGTTCTTATCTGTTATAGGATCGCACAGGTAAGTATCCAGGGATGACCGAAAAGACCAGACCACTTATGTGTATTTGGAGCTGGCTTTTATGGAGGAACTGATGAGGCTGATGGCAGACAGGTGTGGTGATAGTTGAGTGTGCACTGGTGGTAGCCAGAGAGGATTATGGGAAACGTAGTATGCTGAGGTGACTGGTATGTTGAATGAGGATTGTGACAATTGTGACATTTATGAGAGAAGATCGTTTCAAAGGAAATCCTACATGTACACTGTACACTGAATGTGTTTCAGTGTACATAGATCTATGTGGCCATGTTTTATTAATTTGTTCCCTCATTTTAGTTAAATCTTGCCAACCATTCACCATTCAAGTTGTTAGAACAAATTCTTAATTCACGACGACGATGATAGCTTGTTTTCCCCCTGCATGTCGTATGCAGGACTTCATAAATGTACACCTCAGATAAAAATAAATAAATAAAAAACAATAATTGCGATTTTTTTGTGTTTCTCAATATGACTATAATTCACAATTGCAAATTAATTTCTCATCATTACAATTTTGTATCTCAGAATTGCAATTAGATCTCTGACAGTCGTAACTTTATTACTCATATTTGTGACTTTCTATCTCACAGAAAGTATATAATAAACTTACTTTCTTTTATTTCAAAAAACAATATCAAATCATTTATTTGCAACCTTTTTTAATTTGATCTTACATTTGTTTTTTATTTAAACTCTTTGCATTGCAATGATCACTATTGCTCGTGTTGCTTTAAAGTTCCAACTTTTATCGAAAATGATTGAGTTCTGGGTTTGCGCTTTGTCTTTGTAAATGGTTATCAGTGTGAACGCCCATTCAGGGTTAGGGTGGAGAAATTATAATCAACTAAATTTATACTAGAAGAAGTATATGGGAGGTTGTGTGTAAAATTGTTGAGAGAATGCGAGCCACTCTGTCCCCTTTCTGTCACTTGGGTGAGATACTGTGATCTTTCTCTGAATGATAAGTTAAATCATTTTGTCATTCTTGCTGACTTTTCATCTGTGTATCACAGAGTTTATCCACAAAGCTGATATAAACCCCTGTCATGTCCTTTACATAACAAAAAGACATCCACGCGCACACACACACGCACACACACACACACACACACACACAGGGATCCAGAGTCTCTAGAGAATGACGTAATTATAGCTTCAGCCAGCTTAATGGAAGATTAAAAATTAGCATTCTTCCCATGCTGACCCATTAACTATTACTTGCGCTTGCTGTTGGCAAGGGACACACTAATAGACTCATATACAAACACACACACACACACACACACACACACACACACACACACACACACACACTGCCCTGCCATTGCTGGAAGAAACGGGTCAGTCAAGTTGCCCTTCACTGAGTCCAGCTGTGGTGATGTGGGGAGAAATGACAGAAAGATGGAGTATGAGCGAGTGAGTAAACAAGAGGGGGAGGGCGAAAAAGAAATTGAAACAGTCGCTTTCCACTGAGATGATTAGTCAGGAAGAAATTCATTCATGAAGTTAAAATGACCTAGTTTTGTCCACTCTAGTTCTTCCTCACCGCCCTCCAGTGTAAGAAACGGCCTGTTTGATTATTCCATGAACTCCTCCCACCACATTCAGAAAGCAAAGCCTAGCATCTCTCTACAAGCTAACATCCCCAGTTACTGGCAGTAGCACACGAGCGTGCCCTGCAAAGTGTACTACTCAGCATAGGGAATAAGTGTACGCTAATATATCCGTTCACATGAAGTGGAGAGACAATTTATCATAGTCAAGACTACACATAGGCCATTTGTCTGTTTATCTATAAATATTAGGGCCGGGACTCGATTAAAAAAATTAATCTAATTAATTAGAGGCTTTGTAATTAATTAATCGAAATTAATCGCATTTTAATCGTATAAATATTTGACCTGAGAACAGTGAGAAGTAATTTTTTCACATGGATTTTTAGTATACCATTGAATAATGACTGAATACATAAGCTTAAGCAACCCAATATTGTTTATTTTTGTTCAACCAAGTCCAGCAGACCAGTGCAATTTTTGCCATTAAGTGTAGCAATAGCATATTGCTACACTACACTAATAGCAATAGCGAATTCCTTGTTGCATAGCTTGCACACAACCATGCTCTTATCGACGCTTCCATCCGTTCGTTTTTTGTAACAAAATTTCCCAGCCATCGGCCAACCAAAGCGATCTCGTCAGCTTCTTCGTCATGAACGCTAGTTGGTGCACCAGTAAAATCGGTCCGCCGAAACTCATCCAGTGAGAAACGTTCCGCGGTGCAAAAATAAGTGCGATTAAAATAACTTGTGTAATTAATTAACGCGTTAAAGTGTGTAATTAATTAATCTTAATTAACGCGTTAAAGTCCCGGCCCTAATAAATATAGATTGTAAATATATCCTATCTATATTGATTTACACAAGTATATTTTGTCATTAAAGCCTAAAAATTGAACTTCTGCAGATATCTCCTACTCAGTGTGCAGGAAGCAGTGAATAGTGTTTAGGGAGCACAGCTGCACACACACACACACACACCGAGCACGGCCCGCTTCTTTCGTTTCTCAGCACTGGTATCTCAACTGTGTATAATTAATCCTGTCTCAAGCTGAGTGTTAAACTCTATTCTCACTAAAAAGGCCTTGGAGAAGCCTATTAAGTCAGTTCATAACCACACACATTCAGGATTAGTGACTGTACCGAGAGGGCAGTGGTGGGACGTGGTGCGAGCAGAAGCATCAGAAACCATCACATGCACAATAGAATAGTAATGGCCCTGTGCAGCCCCATACGGCTTTGGGGGATAGCACTGACATTAAAACTAATACACGCTGACTTTGCTACCCTTTTTGCTAAGCCATGGCCACAATGACACTCTGTTAACACCTTATTACTATACTGCAGTGCTTTACTTTTATGCTTCTGCTACGTTGTATTAGTTGTACAAAAAAAATATTGCACCTCTTGATGGAAATAAATGTGATGTTATTTACATCAAGAGGTACATACATTTTTAGTCAAGATCAATGCAAGAGTCAAAGCACTCTGTTAAAGTCAACTCCACCGCATCCCAAATACTTTCAAAGAATTTAAGGTCTGGACTCAGAGGTGTGAAACATATAACATGCTAGAAACATAATAACCACTGCAATAATGATCCAATCATAGGTTCTTAAAGGGGTGGTCGATTATGATTTCACTTTTTTAACTTTATAGTCAGTGTGTAATGTTGCTGTTTGAGCATAAACAACACCTGCAAAGTTACGACGCTCAAAGTTCAAAGCAAAGGGAGAGATTTTCTTTTACAGAAATCGCTTTTTAAGGAATACAACAAGCGAATGAGCTTCTTCACGGGTTCGTGACATCACCAACCCTAAAATAAAATTTACAAAAACCCTGCTCCTGGGAACACGCAAGCAACAAAGGGGGTGAGGCCATGTGGTGAAGAGGAAGAGTTGTTGTAGTAGAGCACATTTGGGAGTCTGCTCAAGCTCTCGCATTCCTCTTTTCACATTTATTGCAATTCAGTACGTAACAAAAATGCAATATAATGTTATAAAAGCAAGATGACAACATGAGTTACAACCATAATTAAACTAAACCTGTTTTATCTTCATTTCGCATATTCTCTGACTTTGTAGGCATCTTACATGACAGAATATGCTAATCAATGACTTGAAGATAGTTAACTCCACATCAGCTAGCTACATAAATTCATCAACTAACCATTCAGAAACGTGCGTGAGGTAATCAGAGCTGATAGCGCGAGCCCTTGAAGCCCCGCCCTCTTCTTGAAAGGGGGCCGGGAGCAGCAGCTCATTTGCATTTAAAGGGACACACACCCAAACGGTGCGTCTTTGCTCACCCTCAAAAAGTGACAATTTTAACATGGTATAAAAAATGATCTGTGGGGTATTTTGAGCTAAAACTTCCCATACACGCTCTGGGGACATCAGAGACTTGTTTTACATCTTGTAGAAAGGTGCATTATGGGACATATAGGATATATTTAAATCCAAACAGCGACTTTTTTTGTTTAGAATGTAAACAATTTTTCTGTGAAATGCTAAATCCATATTTCTAAACATTTCCGTTCTCTTGCCCACAGCATCTAAATCCCGCCCCTGCAGTGAGGAGTACCGTCGCATGCCTCCGCCAAAACCCAAACGCAACCCCAACACGCAGCTCAGCACGTCCTTTGACGAGTCTTACATTCAAAACCACTGCAGCAAGGTTAAGTCTGCCTCTCTGCCGCGACAACACAAAAAGAAGTCGGCGTCTCAGAATCAAAGCCCCGCCCCCGCCACTGACGATGAGGCGGAGCCTGTTTATATAGAGATGGTGGGGAATATCTTACGGGACTTCAGTCGAATTGCCGGAGCTAATGGCGATGAAGAGGATGACCAAGGTGAAAGTGTGTATGAGGAGATGAAATATCCTGCTTATGACGATTTGCCTTCATCCTTAGACCACGGCCAGTCACGATGGGAGCAGTGTCCCACTCCTTTGGTGCCGGAGGTAGAACTTACACGACCCACTACTCCACGTGGTTCACTCTGTGACATTCCCGCCCCGTTCCCGAATCTGCTTTCCCACCGCCCTCCTCTACTAGTGTTCCCACCTGCACCAGCCCAGTGTTCCCCCAACTCTGACGAATCTCCTCTTACTCCTCTGGATGTCACCAAACTGCCCATGTTGGACAACGTCGGATATGTCAAACCTGGTGCATCCCCAACTAGCGCTGACCCTGGACCACAGCTGGAGGCTCAGCAGGTGTCTGGTAAACACCACCACCACCACCACCATCATCATAAGAAGAAGTCAGCAGAGACTAAGGAGCAACAAACAATCACAGCATCAGGACGGTCCTCCGCTCCACCCCTGACATCTACGCTGTACAAAAGCGGTGGGTCGTCCGCGGCACACGGGTACCCCCGGAGCCACTCCGCCTGCCCGTCCCCCGTCAGTATGGGTCGTGCGTTAACGCCACTCACCCTGAAGCGCCCCCCGCCGTACGATGCCCTCATGACCGGGACGATTCCTCGCAGCGCTTCCGGAGTTGCACACGGATCACGTGAAAGCGGGCGGCTCTCGAATTCCTCTAGTGTGCACGGGGGCTCCATGCAAAATGTCTCCACTGCTTCGGGTTCAAGCTCAGGGTCGGGAGGTCGAGGCTGTCGTACACCAACCAGTCCTCTGGATGAGCTCAGCAACTTGTTCTCTTCCGGACGCAACATGCTGAAGAAAGGTTCTGGAAGCCGTAAGAACAAAGACTCAGCAGATGGTGAGTGAAAATGTTATAAATGCTCTAAATGTGTTACTAAAAACAAAACAAAAAAATGTATTTAAACAAAAAATACAGTAAAAACAATAATATTCGGAATAATTATTGACATTTAAAATAACAGTTTTCAATTTTAATGTATTTTAAAATGTCATTTATTCCTGTGATGGTTTAGCATCAGTACTCCAGTCTTTAGTGTCACATGATCCTTCAGAAATCACTCTAATGTGATGATTTGATGCTCAAGAAACATTTCTTATTATTATTATCAATGATTAAAACAGCTGTACTGCTTCATATTTTTGTGAAAAACATGATACATTTCCTTTTTTTTTTAATATACAATTTATTAAACAGAAATTTGTATTAAATAGAAACTTTTGTAACATTATAGATGTCTTTAGTGTCACTTTTGATCAATTTAATGCATTGCTGACCAAAAAAAAAATCCCCCAAAAACTATGCAACTTTTATATGTCTTTCAATTGTAATTAAAATATTGATGCATGTTAGCAGCAGCAGTTTACCATAATATATATACACAATATATTGGTAGCATAGTGGTTACTGAGATTTTTGTATTGGTTGATATTAGAAACAGTATAATATGTTAGATTTAATTGTGCATTTGTGAATATTTTTATTACACCTTCCTTGTAAAGATGAAAACCACAACGATTAATTTCAACTTCTCCCTTTTCTTTAAAAAAAAAACTATGAATCTGGGTTACAGTGAGACACTTACAATGGAGGTAAATGAGCTGTCGATTGAGCTTAACTTGTATTGAACCCAGAATATTAATAATTCAATAATTGTCAGTGTATCCCCAGTAGAAAATAAGCAAACAAGAAAAGCACTAAAGCCTTTAATTACACATTTTAAACCCAGTGAATACTGAAATTGTTAGGGTTAACTGTGAGATATCTGGAGGCGATTGGCCATATCAGTAACAACTTCAAAGTGAGGGATGTTGTCTCATAGAGCAAAGCCTGATTGGGTTTAAAAAGCGTGTGTAATCGTTTTGAGAGCTGCAGCTAAGGACTTTTTTTCCAGACTGTTATTTATTCCCGTGTGTGGAGGAGAGATGGCTTTCATGTCCTATTTCCACAGTCCACTTCCATCACCCCAGGTGTGTCTGTGTGTTTGAGCTCGTTCGGAGATTAAAAATTGAGCAATCAACCTACGCACAGACTATTGAACATTGCTTATAGTGCACAGGACAGAGAGAGCGAGAAAATGACCCAGATTCTTCCATACCAATCTGAGCCTCTTCAAATCAAGCTCACTGTCGATTGCGAAGGTCGCCGGATTGTTGCGTTGCAAGGGTTGTTGAATGGCTTTCTCACGAGCCTTTCAAATCATGATTAAATTCATTCTGAAAAAAAAAACCACTTAACAGATTAACGAGTCAAAGCTGTCATGTTGAACCCTCGACACATGCACACAAATACACTCACACATTTACAATTTCATATTCTTTACATACTGTCATAAAAAGTCAAACCTCACTTCAATGTAAGTGTACACAAAAAACACACACTGAAGCTGGTCAGTCTGTCCATCACAGTCAATTTTCCGCCACCCAGTCCAGCGGAGAGACACAAACACACACGGGTACCTCCTGTCAGTATGTCTTCCACGGATCTGTGACTTGGGCTTCGTGCCTGACAGAGTGTGGAGGTGTGTGAGATTAACAGGCTTCCGGCATTAGTATGTGCATGTGTGTTTGCCTGACACAGAGAGAGAAACGACAGAGAGATAGTGAAGAATCTGTCACTGTGATCCAAAACACAACAGTATCTATAGAGCTCAACATCACTCTGCTAAGATACACGGATGTGGGCCACATATCAGATCACGATCAGAGTTCACTCATCCATTTCTGATACATTCAGATTCAGTCAAAATGTCCTAGCTTGAAACTTTGAATATATATTTTATTATTTTAGTCTCTAATGCTCACCAAGGCTGCATTTATTCTATACATTAGAAACAATAATATTGTGAAATATTACAATTTAAAAGAAAAGTTTTCTATTTAAATGTATTTTAAAATATAATGTATTCCTGTGTTGGTAAAGCTGTATTTTCAGCATCATTACTCCAGTCTTCAGAGTCACATGATCCTTCAGAAATCAAATGATTGGTGCTCAAAAAACATTTCTTATTATTAGCGATGTTGAAAACAGTTTTGCTGCGACATATTTTGTTAGAAACCATGATACATTTTTAAGGATTCTTGGATGATAAAAAGTTCAAAAGAACAGCATTTAACTAGAAATAACAACTTTTAAACAATCTGAAGTGTTCTTGCTGAATGAAATTTCTTTAAAATAAATATTTATTATCTGTTTTTAATCTGATTTCGAGATATTTTCAGGAGCCGGCTATTCATTTTCATTAAAAAAACCCCCTGAAAACCAAGGTTTGTAAAGAAAAATATTATCCATTGATTGAATAAGCCTTCTTTCTTCAAATCTACAGATCTCATATCAAAAGCTGCCAAGTCAGTCTTAAACTTCACGCTTGGGCTGTGATTGGCATTTTCAGAAATACCCATTTAGAGATAAAACAATCATAGACAGAGCTCTTCCTGTTCAGGCCAGTTATCCTGGTCCAAATCCTGTTAGGGAATTCTACTACAACTCAGCATGACACCATTCGGCGCCAGAAAGGCATACGGAGTCTGAACATGTGCCAGTGTCGAGTGGCACGCAATAGAGTTTGTGCATTAATCTGTCTCAAGGATCAGTCTAATTTAAATGTAATATGAGTTTGTTTTTATTATGCCCTTCAGTGCCTATAAATAGCTCTAAATATGCCTTAACGGAGAGCAGTCTACTGTTATGTCTTAATGTATGCAGCTGTATTTAAATTCAATAGTGCTTTCCCTGCAGCACTGAATAGCTTAATAGTTTCTAAAATGTAAGTGTCTGAGTAACTTCACATACTCTAAGGTTACATTAGCATATACTAATAATGATCCCACGCATTTAATGTATTTTCTCATCATTATAGCTCTGAGGTTGGCATACATTATCATAATTTAGAGGCACAGAAGTGCTTACATTGTGCCCATAATGGCAGATCAGGTTCGCAGTCAGGCTGAAAACAGTCAATATGATTGAGAAGAAATTCTGATCAGGATCTTCCAAGAATGTGCCATTAAACAGCGACAAACTGGCTCCAGTGCAACAAAACACTGACATACATATAGTATTATAGTTTCCATTATGAAAATTTAATTCTGGCAGTTCCAGAGCTTTTTTTATGACATCACTTTTTTCTATTCCTCCTATTCTGCCTCTATGGCATCATGGATTCTGTCACTTCCATATATTCTCTATCATTATACTGTCCTGAATAAGATATTTTACATAAAAGATGTTTACATATAGTCCACAAGACAAAAAATAGCAGAATTTATAATGACCCTGTTCAAAAGTTTATTTTTGATTCTTAATACTGTGTGTCGTTACCTGGATGATCCACAAATGTTTTTTTGTTGTTTTGTGATGGTTGCTCTTGAGTCCCTTGTTTGTCCTGAGCAGTTAAATCCTTCAGGTCCCGAAAATTCTTCGGTTTTCCAGCATCTTTTGCATACCTGTATTTGAACCCTTTTCAGCAGTTACTGTATGATTTTGATCTTTTAACAACAAGGGACAATTGAGGGACACAACTATTAAAAATATTTTCAAATATGCATTAGATGAAAATCCTGAAGGATTTCTCTGAAGGACATTGGGCAGTTTAACTGCTAAGGAAAAACAAGGAACTTCGCGTAATATCGACTTTATATCTCATAATGTGACTTTATATCTTGCAATAGGGCTTTTTATCTCACTTTTGCTACTTTATATCTCACAGTGTGACTTTATGTGTTCTGTTTCTCCCCACCTCTGGTCCTAATTACAACAAATGCCTTATCAAAGCCAATCTGACTTCTGAGCTGTAATGCTGCCTGAATCATAAGCATACAGTGTTTGTTCGTCGGCCAGGAGAGACTGAGCCTGGGTTCTTCCAAGGATTTTTTTCTCCATTCTGTCACCCGATGGAGGTTTGGTTCCTTGCCACTTTCGCCTTTGTTGCCTTTGGCTTGCTTAATCTTTAACAATATTATTGATCTGCCTGCATTGACACACCATTATACGAGAACTGACCTGAGCTGGACGATGACATCACTGTTTTCTCCAGAGCGGCTATATAAATGAACTAAATTAATAGCTTTTTTATAACAGAAATGAACCATTACTGAACTTACTTAAGCTGGACTATGGCATTATTTTTTTCTAGATCAGCCGAAACAAACTTTGTTGCATTATTTTCCTGCTGTCACTGTAAAGCTGCTTTGAAACAATCTGTATTGTAAAAAGCGCTATATAAATAAAAGTGACTTGACTTGACTTTAGCTAAAAAAGCGCCTTAGTTGTAATTCTAAACAAATGATCGATAAAATGCGTCTTAACCTAAGAGGTTTGGTGCAGTCGGCTGCTGATCTTTAGATTCCTAAAAAGGACCTTGGAGATAAACTACAACCGGTCTCTTGTTTGGCTCTCTCCTGCTGTGCCTTTTAGCCTTGTTTCAGTGGTGTTGTTTATGTCCATTACCTCTGAGTGCCAAAAGGTATTTGGCCTGGCATTTCACTCTAAGTGAATGAGGTGAACATGTTTCTATGTTGGCTGCTGTTAGTTGAGGAGCCTTGTAGAACAATCTGACCCTATGAACACTGACAAGAACACAGTCCTGCCAACACACACCTAAAATTTCCTCCGCTAACTCTCACTCACACACACAAATGGACAGATGAGTGTCTAAGCAGACTATATCCAGGCACTGACCATGTGCATGTTAATAAGTAAATATGATAAATTTGTCGCAGACTTAGCATTAGCGCCCAACGCTAATGACAGTGGACACTAATTAAATGTAGACTAATGGAGCAGGACACCACAGACTAATGGGATTTCAACAGACGTGGCCAGACAACAGAGCGCGTGTGTGTGTGTGTGTTTCCAGAGAGATAACGTATGGTAAATGAGGTTTTTGAGGAGCAATGTGAGTCCATAATGAAAAATAAGCTAACCTTATCAAAGTCAGCAGAGGATAGCAGGGACACTCTCAGTTTCTTTTATGAAAAAAAAAAAAGAATTCTATCTCAATTCTTTAAACTATTCACTCTATTGTACAGTATGTTTCTGATCACTAAAAAGAATCGGCTCATAAGAGTAATTCGTTCAGGAGTTGTACAGGACTGTTCCATGCTGTAAATTCAGTAACGGAAAACGCACGTATGAGAACCGCTAAAAGAATGTCAATTGGTTTCTAGTATTTTTTTTTAATGGAACTGGTTTAATCATATCTTTAAAAAAAAAAGGATAAAAAAAATAATTGCTACTTTTTATCTTACAATTCTGCCTTTTTTCTTGCAATCACAAGTTGCAATCTCAGAATTGCAAGAAATAAAGTCAGATTGCGAGTAAGAATTGTGAGTTATAAACTCGGAAGCATGAAATATACTCTTGATGAGGGGGAAAATCTGAATTGAGAGATTCTGTATTATATGGAACATTTTGCAGCCCTAGTTCCAATGCTGTATGAACTGAACTGAAATGAACTGAAGTAGCTCATGACTTTTATTAGCATAAGGCTTAAGTCATTACACACACACACACACTGATGACATAGTCTGATGTCACCTTCAATTCATACGTCCATAAGTGTCAGACGATATAGCTAAGCACACATCTATATGGACGATACAGATACGCATTCAGATACTCTTGCCAGCTGAAATAATTGAAAAGCTTTCATCTGTTAGTAAAGCAATTTCCCTAATGTCTTCAGAGCCAGTGAAAGACGTGATGAATGTGACTGCTAATGGATCCCCTGTGAGGAGAGAGAGATTGAGAAAGAAATGCAATGGAAAATACAAAGAAAAAGGGATTGATTGTATGAAAGATGAAAAGATGGAGTGAAAAATAAAGAGATGTCAAGTTTAAGCAAGTTTTAAGTCTATAAACAAACTGCATTGTGATCACATGACTTTAACGTCATGTTCGCAGTGATGACGTTTAATGCCCCCAACCACCTCTGTAGCCCCAATTAGCCATTAGCAATAGTTTTCAAGACAATTAAAAGCTTTACAAAGTCTCAAGGAAGTATTACTGATGTATTTTATGTCATAGAATAAAACATAAAAATATCTCAAGCTTGTTCACCACATATCTTATTTCAAGCATTTAACCAAAAACCCATTAAATTTTTTTTTTTACTTCAGGACGGAAGTTATAAAAAGCTTGTTTCCAAGTTTTAGCCCTATTTATCTAGGTTTCAAAAATAGTGTGTGAACCAGTCCAAAGAGTTTTTATATGACAATTACTTTTCATGTTTGATATAGCAAATCATGTAGTTATTTTATATATATTATATACATTTTTAATTGTGAACTGTCTTTTTGTGATCGAATAATAAATCAAAAAGAACATTTAAAAAAATTACTTTTAAAGGATTAGTTCACTTTTAAAAAAACTTTTTCTGATAATTTACTCACCCCCATGTCATCCAAGATGTCCATGTCTTTCTTTCTTCAGTCGAAAAGAAATGAAGGTTTTTGATGAAAACATTCCAGGATTTTTCTCCATATAATGCACTTTGCTGGGCACCAAACGGTTCAAGGTCCAAAAGACAGTTTCAGTGCAAACTGCAAACTGTTCAAATGGCTTTAAACGACACCAGACGATGAATAAGGGTCTTATCAAGCGAAACGATCGCTCATTTAAAAAAGAAATAACAAAGTTTAAGTTTTATAAGCTCACATGCTCGCCTTGCTCTGTTCTGTGTGACTCTCCTGTTCAAACTCGTTCATCAAAATGAACGAATCTTTTTCCGAGTCAATTCGTTCATTTCGTTCGTTAAATGAACCAAATGACTCGAAAAAAGATTTGTTCATTTTGATGAACGAGTTCGAACAGGAGAGTCACGAACGTGCATCACAGAACAGAGCAAGGCGAGCATTTGACATTATTAAACTTAAACTTTGTTATTTCTTTTTTAAATGACCGATCGTTTCGCTTGATAAGACCCTTATTCATCGTCTGGTGTCGTTTAAAGCCATTTGAACAGTTTGCAGTTTGCACTGAAACTGTCTTTTGTACCTTGAACCGTTTGGTGCCCAGCAAAGTGCATTATATGGAGAAAAATCCTGGAATGTTTTCATCAAAAACCTTAATTTCTTTTCGACTGAAGAAAGAAAGACATGGACATCTTGGATGACATTGGGGTGAGTAAATTATCAGCAAAAGTTTTTTTTAAAGTGAACTAATCCTTTAATATAATTTCTGGTTTATCACATTGGAAATGGAAGTGCATTACATTGTGGGATAGTATACAGTACCAAGTTTGCTCTGCATGCAGAAATACTGCTCAATTTTCACAGTATACATTCTACATACTGCAAAAATAGTAATAGCACTATGATATTTTGCTACACTAAGTTATTTTGGCTCACCTAGCGGTAATATGCTTGTACTGCAGCACTAGTACAAAACAAAGCACTTATTCACGAAACCGCAATCATTCTCATAAAAACAGATGCCAAGGCACATTGACTTTTACTGAATTCTGAAATCTCTACCTCTTTTTCTCTCTTCCAGGTGAAAGTAAAGGCAGAAGTGACAGTAGGGACAGAGCCCTTCGTAGCTCTTCTCCGAAATCACAGGATTGGGAAACGCCCACAGGACAATCAGCCACGCCCACAGCCACGCCCAGTCGTCTTGGCCGCTCTTCCGTCAGCCCGACCACCATGCTTGGGGGTGCGTCCTGTCCATGCGACAGATAATCAGATAAAAACAAAGTAAGGATGCTGATTTTAGATACTCATTTAACATACTCTTCCTTTTTAGAAACAAAAGCCGGGTGTAAACTTGGCCGCTCCGCATCCACGTCAGGAGTCCCGTCCCCTATGGGAACGCCCCAAAGACACGCCCCCGATGCCTCCGCCCACCAGTGCGGGACCCCGTTCCAGGTACAACCCCCTTATTCCTCAGAATGAGCGAGAGATCGCATGCGTGTGGAGTTCGGCTCCTGTCTCCGTGTCTGTCGATCTGCCCAGCAATACCTTCATGTCTTTGACCTTTGACCCCACGGCTATGTGTTTATCCTATTCTGTCTGCTGCTTCTGCTGCCGTGCATTTCGTTTGGCTCACGGCGTTCATCGTCTGTCTACGTAGATGCGTATGCGTGTGTTGTTTGTGTCCGGTCCAGATCAGGGCTGCCTTCCCATCGCGCTCTGAAGAGGCTCTCACATTTAATTCGTCCTCTGTGAGCTTGTGCCAAGAGATCCACAATCAGGGTTTTATATATCAGGCCGTTTTAGCACTTGAGAAAAGGTCTGAATCTGAACGAGAAGCTCTTCAGAGCGCCGGCGGACAGCTTTACTCTCGACCAGCAGCTTCCTCAAGTCTGTGTCGTCTTCATTACAATGTTTCAGATGTTGTGGTTGGCTTCCTCAGAATGATGTACAGACATCAAACACAGAAGCTGATACCATAAAATTGGAGAAAACTCACTCTTAAAAGCAGGATCCCGAATCCAAAGCATAGACATCATCACGACTTATTTACTAAATTGATTGAAATATTGACAGCTTGATTGACAGTTTCCTCAAAACACCCCCAGTTAAAGTCTGTTTGATGTGTGTATATATGTATCTCGACATGGCATTTATATCAGTGTCACGTATCATATGCTCTCTCCTGTTTGTCTGTGTGGCCTTATTTGAACGGGTTTTTAGAGCTACACTGTATTATGTACAAAAATCCTGTAATAATAACTTTGTTTTCCACGTCAACATCACTTTCACAGAGACTGGGGAGTCAGTTACACAACTCACTACACAGACTCACCAAGGCATGTTCTTTATATCACAACTGATGAAAGCTACTGTGAACACACACACTATTTTATAGGCATACAGTAACATGCAATGCAGTAATATACTACAATAAAAAACAAATTACACAATGTATAGCTATACTATTACACTCAATATTATAACAGACAACACATTTAGTATGTTTAGTATGTCTGATCTACTCTCACTCCCCAGTTGTGTGTTTGATTGTTAGTGACTGTAATTGAACTAACCCAAATAAATCTTAAAATCGAGGGATAAAACTAACCCCAACAAAGCAGAAATCGAAATAAAACCTTGTCAAAATTGTCTACTTTTCCCTGTCCACTGTACTTTCTGTGTCTATCTGCTACTTCCTTCCTCAAAAGCAAAAATGTGTGTGTGTTTGCTGTATGTGTATAAGTGTGTACTGTACGTGTGTGTGTGTGTGTGTGTGTGTGTGTGAGTGTACGTGTGTGTGCATGCCTGAAGTATATGCTCTGTTACAAAACCTAGTCAGCAATACCTCATTTTATTATGGCAACTTTACTACGCTGTCTCCTAAAACCTTGTTTTGCCCAAAATTTAAGGCAGCGTTGCATGTATGCTTATTATAAATAACCTCAAATCTGTGATATTTTACTATTATTTAAATACAAATATAGTATTTATTAATACTTTGAATTGTCTCATATTTTTACAGTATTTTGGTTTAAGGTTTAGGAATTTTGTTATGTGCTTTTGGCATATTTATTTGACAATATTTCTATTTATGTTTATTAAAGGGACAGTTCACCCAAAAATTTAAATTCCGCTCAATTCATATGCATTTTAGTTATAATTTTGATTAAAGTTTACGAGGGCACATGAATTTTTGGTTCATTAATCAATACTACAAAAAAAAAAAAAAAAAAAAAAGTCCATTTTGATTTCATGATTCTAAACTTGACTTAATAACATTATAACAAACTAAAGTATAAGTGCTTCACATAAGGAGGGCCATTAATTGAGAATGCTGTCTTAGAAGGCAGCCGCCTGTGTAGCTCACTAGGTATTGAAACAGAGAGAGATTTTGTGTTGCCTCTATACATGTTTATTGTTTTAATCTGTGTTTGTACAGGTGCATGCCACGGGCAGTTTAATATGCGTGTACACGATTAAGATATTGTGGTGTGTGTGTGTGTGTGTGTGTGTACAGTGCAAGAGAATTAAACTGAACGGCAATACATTCTGACTGTTCTGACTTTAAATGAAAATGAATTATTAAACATTTCATTTATTATTAAAGAACGCTGTTAACGGCTTCACTCTCACAAAAAAAAAAAAAAAAAATGTATGTGAAGGGCTACAAAATCAAAGCCAGCTCTGCATGCACCAACATTGTCTCACCCTTGCCACCCATTAGATGCCCCCAATGCCCTGGGCATGTGGGGACAGCACCATGATGGAGATGATTGAGAAGAAACGTCACCTGTGCAAGGAGATCAAATCCAGACAGAGACCTTCAGACAAAGCCCTGTGCAAACAGGACAGCATGCCCATCCTGCCCAGCTGGAAGAAGACCAACGGGGGCAAAAAATACGGGCCCCCTCCGTACTCCACCCAAACCACTGTCTTCTGGGACACTGCTATTTAAAGGGTGACCAGCAAACTACGGCCATGGAGATGCACAGACTGAGGGGGCGTGTCCAAATATTGATTGACAGCTAGCAGGAAGTAGGACTATGTGACAATACATTGAAGGATCCTCAAATCTCCCTGGTTTCCTATCGCTGTTTATATTTGATATTTTTATATTGAAGATAACTGTCTTAATATTAAATATAATTAATATAATTAGCGGTTTTATAAAGAGGAACTCTCTAAATGAGATCTAAGAGTGAAAATAGTACACTTTAAAAACCCATGAGATGATATTTGTCCTCTTCTAAATGGTATTTCTATTTATTTTCTATCCTTTTTTGGGGGGGTGTTTCTATATTTGGCACTTATCTGTGTGTCTGGGGAAATAACCTATAATGTATGGTGAAATATGTGCAGTAATTCCATTGAAAAAAACATCGTTGTTTTTGACGCCTATGCATTTGGTTTTACGGCATGGACGGCGCTTTTGTTCATTGTCTGTTTTTCATATGGAGAGTTTATTTGAAAATAATATATTTTTGGTGTCTGTACTTTAAATGTGGGATTGTGAGTTGTCAGGGAGTTGTTCTTACGGCTTCTGGGTTGGACTTGAAGGCAATCGGCTGGATTGTGAGATAGATGGGTTTGATTAGTCGGATTAGATTATGAGATGACTGGGTTATTAAAAATATGGATCGGACTGTTTTATAAGGCGGTTTGTCAGAGATTGAGTGTGGTCAGATAAACTGTGAGGGCACTTTCTGTTTTGCGAGGTCAGCTGGTGTATTTCAATTGTTAGCGCTGTAAACTCGCAAACACACACTAATATCAGCTGCTTTATGGCCTAACATTTGGTGCTGTTCAACTCCTTTCTTGAATGTTCAACCTTAACAGCTACATGTCAGTCATGCACATAATAAAAATTGTAAAGAAATTCGCGTGGGGCGCTTTGCGCATGATCAGGGATCGAATGATGAAAATCCGGTCCTCTAGCTGGCATGTCAGATAATAAATCTCAAATGCAGACACCGTTCTTTTATGAAGCACTATGCAGACATACTGTCAGTTTACACATTCATATATCATTGTGACACGAGTCAAGGGCAGGCAAGAGGCAATATCGTACTGAAAAGGCTCAGAAAGAAAAGACCAGGCAGGCTGTAATTTACTCCGATCAGATGCTGTCCAGGCTTAAACCCATAGCTTTACCACGCAATCAAAGAGCCATGCCGGTGCATTCAAGCACACTTGACTTTATGTGAACTAGTCATCATAAGCACTTAAACACTAGGATGCCAAGCACGGTCTTGAAATGACAGGAGAGTAAATGCCTTTCTGTGCGTGTTTAATAATGATTCAGGAATCAGATCAGATCAAGAAACATACTAAATGCAAGTGTACAAACAGACACATTGCTAATGCATTGTAAGCGCATGGTTCCTTAAGTGTGGCAGTAACACATCTTAGTATTCAAGATAGCTATAGAGTGCTGTAGGAATGAGTCCTAAAACCCGGAAATGAGTTCTTCCGGTTCCATCATGCCGAAGTCAGTGGGATTTTTGAATGGGTTTGCGGTTAACACAGGCTCAAGATACTTTTCATTAATTGCATTCATGTACTTGCATAGAGTATGTTTTGGGTCTTAAAGGGATAGTTCACCAAAAAATAATCATCATTTACTCACCCGCAGGTCATTCTAAACTGGTACGACTTGAAACACATGTATATATAAGATGTTTATTAGAAAATTGTCTTTTGTGTGTGTGTATGTGTGTGTTTGTGTTTTCAAACAATTAAAATCAATGGGTTCGGTGTTGTTTTGAACCCAATGACTTTCAATTTATGACTAAAAACAGCTGTTTTTTAAATATCCTATTTTGGTGTCACGGAAAGTAACACATTTTGAAAGACATGAGGTTGAGTACATAATGACTGAATTTAAATTTTTAGGTGAACTATCCTTTTTACATATTAGAGCATTTAGAAGATTGAATAAGGATGGCTTTGAGAGAGGGACTGTGTCCTTTTAAGAGTTGATGTATCACTAAATGATGATGATAATGTGAAATAGCCAATGAGCAGTGATCAGGTGTTGGCGTCACTTAGCAATCGGCTGGTTTAGCTGTCAGTGATTTGAGGGACCAATGCAGAGGTTTTTCTGCCAATTAAAAATGACAACACAAACTCTGTTTTACGCTCTGCTGTCCAGTGGTTGCCATTGAGACACTGCTCTGTAGTTGTTTGCGCTGCTGTGGGCGGGACTGTGATGTCATGCTGAGGTGTGGTTAAGCCACACCCCTAAAGATGGGGCTGGATCTCTAAAGCCCCTCCCCTCACTGCCATCCCCATCACACAATCACACATCTTAACCTGCTTATTTAACACACACTAGACATTAGACCAACACAGAGACACTGTAAACCATGTACGAATGCACATAAAATACAGGCACTTTTCAAAAATTCTATCAGCACATGCTCACATACACATGTACAAAGCTGGCATCCAAGTATAAAGCATTGCCTTGGAGACCTGGGTTCACTGTGACTAAAAAAAATACTTTAGGGAGGGGCTTAAAGGTCAGTAGAATGATGTAATAAAGGTTTACACATAACCCTACTAACTAACATAACTAACAAAAGTCGCCACAACGAAAACACACAACAATGTAGTAGTTAGGGGGGAAAGGTAAAAAACCAAAAACAGAGGGGGTGCTCAGTTCTGCAGACCCCCAGATGCAGTAGCACATGTCACCAGTAGATGGCAGTAACAGCCTAGTGTTCTTCATATGCACTGCGTTCCAATTCGCATACTGTGTGCTCCAAATATGTACTTTACTGGAGAAGGGAAAGTATATACTTCTGAGTGCACTGCATTAACATTAACACATTACAGTAACATTAACATTTATTACCTTAAATTCATATCTTAAAACATAAAATTCATCAAAACTCAAAGTATTTTGGTCAATATTACCAGAAAAAAAATATATTCATGAGTGTACATTTTGAAAAAGTATATCATCAAATCATTCTTTCTATTTTCAATTTACTATGATTTGGGACACAAATTATAATCTAATATATACTATATAGGATGCACAGTATACAAATTGGGATGCAGACAAAGCAGAATTGCATCATGGTATTAGCCTATAGTGAGTCTAACCATCTATCTTTATAGTTTCTAAATGCTATAAAGATTAAAAGCCAAAATGGAAATATTCAGGTTTCTGGGGGAATCTGAAACCATTTAGATCTTTGTATTGCGAGTTTAGAACAGTTAGTGATCTCAGATGTCACTCAACACAGTGAGTTCCTATGGAGTCACATTCATGGATCCTGAGATGAAGCCAAACAGGTTCAGGTTCTAGAACACTTGCATGGGCGGCGCTATAGGGAGGGGCTAGCAGGTGCTTCAGCACCCCCAAGAAAGACCAAAGCACCCCGATAGCACCCCCAAAAATGGAAGCCCTGAACCACATGGTGAAAAAAAAAGAAAACTTATCTTGTTATTTCGAGATTTTAAGTCGTTATTTCGACATATCTCGTTATTTCGACATAATTACTCATTATTTCAACATAATATCTGTTATTTCGACATAATATCTTGTTATTTCGACATAAGTCGTTATTTCGACATAATATCTGTTATTTCGGCATAATAACTCGTTATTTCAGCATAATAAGGGGACATTCTAATCTGCATTAAGCCACATTAAGCATTCTTATAATGGTTTTCTATGGGAGGAAAATGCTTAACATGTAATTAAACACGTTGCGTTCAAATTCTGGGCTCATCTGATTTTTTGTACACAGTATAGCCTACTTTATTATGATTTAGCATCATAATGATTAATAAATGCATGCACAATTATCCGTGAACTTGATAAATGTTGCAGATATGTTTTACTATGCACAAACAAACGCCTTTCAACTTATGTGTGCAAAATTCAGAATTAAATGAATGTGCAGCAATTTGTACAAATAGAGAGTCTGTAGGCCTACTATATGTGTTGTAGCCATTAAATAAGTGCATTTAGTTTCATATTTGTTAAAATATTATAATATATATATTTTTTTTCATCTATGTTGATTATAAAAAGTGAACAGCATGAGTAAGATAGGATGCGCAATATATCGGGAGACATGGAGTGGGTCAGACATGATTTTGACCACTTCATTAAGTTTTGTTTTGTAGAAAGCGAAAGTGTATTTCGTTTTGTATAGTTGTATCTTAATTTGAATCAATTTTTCATCAACCAATTGCCTGGATTTAATAAATAAGAAGCAAATATAGCAGACAATATATTCATGACATGGTGGCGCTGTTGCGGTCACTTGCATTGCACGTGAACTGGAGTGCATCTCATCATAAATTAACAGAAACTCAGCGTATGCCTAAAGAAACTCAGCGTATGCCTCAAGAAACTCAGCGTATGCCTCACAGACATGGGAAACATATCTATAGAAATCTTGAAATGTCTTCAAAACAATTCAAAACGAAAATAAATAGGCTACTCTCTGATTATGTAATCCATTATGTGCATTTCTCTATATAGGCGAGTTCACTACGGAGATGGCGATCGTCAACTTCATCTTTGCAGCCGACACTGACACAGAAAACACTCGTTTATTAATAAAAATCAATGCACGAGTGTCACCGGATTTACAAATGCACATCTTGCTTGTTGCACGCGCACATATTATGTCGAAATAATGAGATATTATGTTGAAATAACATTATTATTAATAATAAATCTTTAAGAATATTTGATTGAATGCTGAATGTTGTGCTTGTTCAATTTAATACAATTAAAACTTTAAATATTGAGTGGCCAAGTTTTGCTCATTTATTAATAACGGAAGAATTTATATATAATATACTGTATATATATATAATTGCGCAGCTCCCCTGCCAATGATCTAGCACCCCCTCGGCACCTGCGTTAAAAATTATCTGGCGCCGCTCCTGCAAGTGGAGTTCTATAATGCATCCTGATTCTAATGCAAAATGTTTTAGAATACGGGTTTTCGTGGCATATACTTTGAGAGTTTGTTCTTTTACCACCTAAATTGAAAGAGCAAATTATTGTTC